CACCATAAGTGGGAGCTATGGGGCACCATAAGTGGGGTCTATGGGGCTCTGTAAGTGGGGTCTATGGGGCACCATAAGTGGGATCTATGGGGCTCTATTAAGTGGGAGCTATGGGGCTCTATAAGTGGGAGCTATGGGGCTCTATAAGTGGGAGCTATGGGGCACCATAAGTGGGAGCTATGGGGCATCATAAGTGTAATGGGGACCCATAAGTGGGAGCTATGGGGCAGCATAAATGGGAGCTATGGGGCGCCATAAGTGGGGTCTATGGGGCAGCATAAGTGGGGTCTATGGGGCTCTATAAGTGGGATCTATGGGGCACCGTAAGTGGGGTCTATGGGGCTCTATAAGTGGGAGCTATGGGGCACCATAAGTGTAATGGGGACCCATAAGTGGGAGCTATGGGGCTCTATAAGTGGGAGCTATGGGGCGCCATAAGTGGGAGCTATGGGGCATCATAAGTGGGGTCTATGCGGCACCATAAGTGGGATCTATGGGGCTCTATTAAGTGGGAGCTATGGGGCTCTATAAGTGGGAGCTATGGGGCTCTATAAGTGGGATCTATGGGGCTCTATAAGTGAGAGCTATGGGGCTCTATATTTGGGATCTATGGGGCTCTATAAGTGAGAGCTATGGGGCTCTATAATTGGGATCTATGGGGCTCTATAAGTGAGAGCTATGGGGCTCTATATTTGGGATCTATGGGGCTCTATAAGTGGGAGCTATGGGGCTCTATAAGTGGGAGCTATGGGGCTCTATAAGTGGGAGCTATGGGGCATCATAAGTGGGAGCTATGGGGCACCATAAGTGGGATCTATGGGGCTCTATAAGTTGGATGGGGACCCATAAGTAGGAGCTATGGGGCTCTATAAGTGGGATCTATGCGGCCCCATAAGTGGGAGCTATGGGGCTCTATAAGTGGGATAGGGACCCATAAGTGGAATCTATGGGGCTCCATAATTGGGCTCTATGGGGCTGGCCATGGCCCTATAGCGCCCCCTAAGTCCCCTCTATGGGTCCGCCCCCTAAGTCCCCTCTATGGCTCCACCCCCTAAGTCCCCTCTATGGGTCTGCCCCATAAGTGCTCTCTATGGCTCCCCATAAGTGCTCTCTATGGCTCCGCCCCATAAGTCCCCTCTATGGCTCCGCCCCATAAGTGCTCTCTATGGCTCCCCATAAGTGCTCTCTATGGCTCCCCATAAGTCCCCTCTATGGGTCCACCCCTGAGTTCTCTCTATGGGTCTGCCCCATAAGTGCTCTCTATGGCTCCCCATAAGTGCTCTCTATGGCTCCCCATAAGTCCCCTCTATGGGTCCACCCCATAAGTGCTCTCTATGGGTCTGCCCCATAAGTGCTCTGTATGGCTCCCCATAAGTGCTCTCTATGGGTCTGCCCCATAAGTGATCTCTATGGCTCCCCATAAGTGGTCTCTATGGCTCCCCATAAGTGCTCTCTATGGGTCCGCCCCATAAGTGGTCTCTATGGCTCCCCATAAGTGCTCTCTCTGGCTCCGCCCCACAGCCCCGCCCCACCTCCTCCTCCCGCCTCCTGTACCAGGCCCGCGCCCCCCACGGGGTCTCCCTGCTCCTCTCCATCCTCACCGACAACCCCCGCCGCAGCCACCACCACGTGGGCCTCATCCTCAGCCGCTATGGGTCAGTCTATGGGGCAGCCCCACACCATAGGGGCGCTATGGGGCAGTGCCACCGTGCCCCATAAGTGACTCCCTATGGGGCCTGTTCTAAAGGGGGACGCTGTCGGACGGTGCCCGCCATGGCTTCGAGGAGGTGGGGGTGGTGCGTGTGGGGCCCAGGGACGCTATGGGGCGCGCTATGGGGCTGGAGGGGGCCCTGGAGGTGGCGCTGGAGGCCGGGGCTCAGGATGTGAGCGAGGAGGAGGAGGAGGAGGAGGAGGAGGAAGAGCGCACGTTGAAGGTGAGGATATGGGGGGCTATGGGGGGATATGGGGGGTCTATGGGGGGATATGGGGGTCTATGGGGGGTCTATGGGGGGTCTATGGGGGGTCTATGGGGGTCTATGGGGGGGATATGGGGGGTCTATGGGGGAATGGGGTCTATGGGGGGGATATGGGGGTCTATGGGGGGTTTATGGGGGTCTATGGGGGTCTATGGGGGTCTATGGGGGTCTATGGGGGGATATGGGGGGGATATGGGGGGTCTATGGGGGGTCTATGGGGGTCTATGGGGGGTCTATGGGGGGGATATGGGGGTCTATGGGGAGTGTATGGGGGTCTATGTGGGGATATGGGGGTCTATGGGGGTCTATGGGGGGTCTATGGGGGGTCTATGGGGGTCTATGGGGCGTGTATGGGGGTCTATGTGGGGATATGGGGGTCTATGGGGGTCTATGGGGGGTCTATGGGGGGTCTATGGGGGTCTATGGGGGGTCTATGGGGGTATATGGGGGTCTATGGGGGGGATATGGGGGTCTATGGGGGGGATATGGGGGTCTATGGGGGGATATGGGGGGTCTATGGGGGGTCTATGGGGGTCTATGGGGGGTCTATGGGGGTCTATGGGGGTCTATGGGGGGTCTATGGGGGTCTATGGGGTTCTATGGGGGGTCTATGGGGGTCTATGGGGGTCTATGGGGGTCTATGGGGGGTCTATGGGGGTCTATGGGGGTCTATGGGGGGATATGGGGGGGATATGGGGGTCTATGGGGGTCTATGGGGGGATATGGGGGGTCTATGGGAGTCCATGAGGGTCTATGGAGAACCTATGGGGGGGTGTATGGGGGAATATGGGGGGTCTATGGGGGTCTATGGGGGGGATATGGGGCTACGGGGTGTCTATGGGGGTCTGTGGGGGTTCTATGGGCGGATATGGCGGTCTATAGTTGGTCTATTGGGGGTCTATGGGGTTGATATGGGGGATATCATGGGGGGGGACATGGGTCTATGGGGCGCCCCGGGGGGTCTTATGGGGGTCTATTGGTCTATGGGGCTGACTGGGGGTCTATGGGGGTCTATGGGGGGGATATGGGGGGTCTATGGGGGGTCTATGGGGGGTCTATGGGGGGTCTATGGGGGGGATATGGGGGGGCTATGGGGGGACTTAATGGGGCACCAACCACCATTGGACACCCCTTGACTTCCATTGCCTCCATTGACTTTCATTGACCCCATTGACCCCATTACCCCCATTGCCCCCCATTACCCCCATTGCCCCCAATGCACCCCCATTACCCCATTACCCCCATTGCCCCCCATTGCCCCCCATTGCCCCCCATTACCCCCATTGACCCCATTGCCCCCATTACCCCCATTACCCCCCATTGACCCCATTGCAGTTCCTCTGTGACCCCTCCTCCTTGGCCACCATCCGGGCCCGTTTGGTGGCCTCGGGGCTCCTCCCCCTCTCGGCCGCTATCATTGACCTCCATTGACTCCCATTGACCTCCATTGAATCCCACTGAGCTCCATTGCCCTCCATTTACTTCCCATTGCTTCCATCCCCATTGCCCCCATTGACCCCATTGCCCCCATTACCCCCATTCCCCCCCATTACCCCCCATTGCCCCCATTGCAGTTCCTCTGTGACCCCTCCTCCTTGGCCACCGTCCGGGCCCGTTTGGTGGCCTCGGGGCTCCTCCCCCTCTCGGCCGCCATCATTGACCCCATTGACCCCCATTGACTTCCATTGAATCCCATTGACCTCCATTGACTTCCATTGACTTCCATTGACTGCCATTGACCGCCATTGACCCCCATTGACCGCCATTGACCTCTATTGACTGCCATTGACTTCCATTGACTGCCATTGACTTCCATTGCCCCCATTGACTTCCATTGCCCCCATTGACTTCCATTGACTGCCATTGACCCCCATTGACTTCCATTGACCCCATTGACTTCCATTGACCCCCATTGACTTCCATTGACCCCCATTACCCCCATTAATCCCCATTAACCCCCATTGCCCCCATTGACTCCCATTGCCCCCCATTGCCCCCCATTGCCCCCATTGCAGTTCCTCTGTGACCCCTCCTCCTTGGCACCGTCCGGCCCTTTGGTGGCCTCGCTCTCCCCCTTGGCCGCCATCATTGACCTCCATTGACTGCCATTGACTTCCATTGACTCCCATTGACTGCCATTGACTCCCATTGACTTCCATTGACTTCCATTGACTTCCATTGACTGCCATTGACTTCCATTGACTTCCATTGACTGCCATTGACTGCCATTGACTTCCATTGACCTCCATTGACTGCCATTGACCCCCATTGAGGCCATTGACCGCCATTGACCCCCATTGACCTCTATTGACTGCCATTGACTTCCATTGACCCCATTGCCCCCCATTGACCCCCATTGACCCCATTGACTTCCATTGACCCCCATTGACCCCTATTGACTTCCATTGACCCCATTGACCCCATTACCCCCATTGCCCCCATTACCCCCATTGCCCCCATTACCCCCCATTGCCCCCCATTCCCCCCATTGCCCCCATTGCAGTTCCTCTGTGACCCCTCCTCCTTGGCCACCGTCCGGGCCCGTTTGGTGGCCTCGGGGCTCCTCCCCCTCTCGGCCGCCATCGAGTTCGTGCCCCGGGGCCTCGTGGCGCTACCGGAAGAGGCCCAGGCCCGGGCCCGAAGCCTCCTGCAGGAGCTCCAGGCCTGCCCGGATGTGCTCCAGGTCTTCCATAACATCCAATGGGAGGAGGGGATGGAGGGCGACCAATGAGAGAGCGGCATCTTGAGGGGTGGAGATCCTCATTGGGTAATAAAGAGGTTGTGGTCATTGTCGTCAATGGGGCCTTATGGGGGTAATGGGCAATGGGTCCTTATGGGGGCAATGGGTCCTTATGGGGGTAATGGGCAATGGGTCCTTATGGGGGCAATGCGTCCCTATGGGGGCAATGGGTCCTTATGGGGGTAATGGGCAATGGGTCCTTATGGGGGCAGTGGGCAATGGGTCCCTATGGGGGCAATGGGTCCTTATGGGAGCAATGCGTCCCTATGGGGGCAATGGGTCCTTATGGGGGTAATGGGCAATGGGTCCTTATGGGGGCAGTGGGCAATGGGTCCCTATGGGGGCAATGGGTCCTTATGGGAGCAATGCGTCCCTATGGGGGCAATGGGTCCTTATGGGGGCAATGGGTCCTTATGGGGGCAATGGGCAGTGGGGCCTTATGGGGACCATCATCAATGGGGCCTTATGGGGACCATCATCAATGGGGCCTTATGGGGGTAATGGGGCCTTATGGGGGTAATGGGCAATGGGGTCTATGGGGGTAATGGGCAATGGGGTCTATGGGGGTAATGGGCAATGGGGCCTATGGGGGTAATGGGCAATGGGGGCTATGGGGGTAATGGGCAATGGGGCCTTATGGGGGTAATGGGCAATGGGGCCTTATGGGGGTAATGGGGCCTTATGGGGGTAATGGGCAATGGGGCCTTATGGGGGTAATGGGCAATGGGGCCTTATGGGGGCAATGGTCAATGGGGCCTTATGGGGACCACCATCAATGGGGCCTTATGGGGACCACCATCAATGGGGCCTTATGGGGACCATCATCAATGGGGCCTTATGGTGACCACCATCAATGGGGCCTTATGGGGACCACCATCAATGGGTCCTTATGGGGACCACCATCAATGGGGCCTTATGGGGACCACCACCAATGGGTCCTTATGGGGTCAACGGGTCCCCTCCCCCCCGAACCCACCGCCACACCCCCTCATTTTGGGTTCATTTAATGCCTTTTTGGCTCATTCGGACCCCGGGGGGCTCCCCAAAAAGAGGTCCCCATAGGACAAAGTGGGGGCATCTTCATCACCCTCCTCCTCCTCCTCCTCCTCCCATAGGAGCTGCTGGACCAATGGGTGGCCGAGCCCGAACCCCTCCTCCCCAGCCCCACATCCCTTCAATGGGGCCCTCCCTGCCCCACATCCCCTCCATGGGGCCCTCCCGGCCCCACATCCAACGAGCGCCCCATAACCTTCCCCCCCTCCCTCCGCTCTCTCCCATTGGACGACCCCGCTATGGGGCTCCCCCCCCGCTCCCCGTGCCCCATAGCGACGCCTGCCCCACACCCTCCCGCTCCGCGGCCCCATTGGGACCCCCAAGTCGCGAGGGGGTCTCCTATTGGACGAGGGGGCACTTGTGGGGCTGGGGGGTGTTGGGGGCGGGGCGGAGGTGTCTCCTGGCCCCATGGCTTCCGCTATGGGGCTCGCTGGGGTTGAGGCGATGATTGCCCCATTGCCTGCGTGCGCGGCGCTAGGCCCCATAGAGACATCCCTTGGCCCCATAGAGACATCCCTAGGCCCCATACACTCATCCTTAGACCCCATGGACTCATCTATAGAGCCCATAGACCCATCTCTAGGCCCCATAGAGCCATCTCTTGACCCCATTCCATCCCTGGACCCATCCCTAGCCCCCATAGCCCCATCCTTAGCCCCCATTGACCCTATTGACCCAATAGACCCAATGGACCCAACAGCCCCATCCCTGCCCCCCATCGACCCCATTGAGCCATCCTTAGCCCCCATTGACCCCATAGACCCAGTAGACCCAACAGCCCCATCCTTACCCCCCATTGACCCCATTGACCCATCCTTAGCCCCCATCGATCCAATGGACCCATCTCTACCACCCATTGACCCTATTGACCCAATGGATCCATCTTTAGACCCCATAGACCCTATAGACTCATCCCTACACCCCATCGACCCAACAGCCCCATCCTTACCCCCCATTGACCCCATTGACCCAATAGACTCATCCTTACCTCCCATTGACCCCAATGACCCCATTGACCCCATAGACCCATCCTTACCCCCCATTGACCCCATTGACCCATCTCTAGATGCCAATGACCCAATTGACCCCATTGACCCAATAGACCCATCCCTTCCCCCCACTGACCCCATTGGCCCCATTGACCCCATAGACCCCCCACCCCCCTCCCTCCCCCCCATCCCTCCCCCAGCGCTCCGGGTGCCACTGCGTTGCCGCTCCCGTTGTTCCCAGTCCCGGTGCTCCCAGTCCTGGTACTGGTCCCGGTCCTGCTCCCGGTGCCGATCCCGGTCCCGATACTGGTGCTCCTGGTGCTGATCCTGGTCCCGGTGCCATTGATCCCAGTGCTCCCGGTGCTGTCCCTGGTGCTGATCCTGGTGCCGTTGGTGCTGTCCCTGGTGCTGATCCCGGTCCCGATCCCGGTGCTCCCGGTACTGATCCCGGTCCCGGTGCCATTGATCCCAGTGCTGATCCTGGTGCTGTTCTTGGTGCTGATCCCGGTCCCGGTTCCATTGATCCCGGTGCTCCCGTTGCCGATCCCGGTCCCCCTGGTGCTGATCCCGGTCCTGCTCCCGGTGCTCCCAGTGCTCCCGGTCCCGATCCCAGTGCTCCCGGTGCTGATCCCGGTCCTGGTACTGGTGCTCCCGGTGCTCCCAGTCCCGATCCCAGTGCTCCCGGTGCTGATCCCGGTCCTGCTCCTGGTGCTCCCAGTGCCGTTGGTGCCGATCCCGCTCCCGTTGCCGCTCCCGTTGCCGTTGGTGCCGCTCCCGTTGCCGCCGGTGCCGTTCCGGTCCCGATCTCATTCCCGGTTCCGGTGCCGGTGCCGGTGCCGGTGCCCGCAGGCGCAGGAGGAGCCGCGCCAGCAGCGCCCGGCGCTCGCGGTGCCCCCGCAGGAGCTTGGCCTCCACCCGCGCCAGCTCGTCACAAACCGACACCGACTCCAGCACCAGCGCCCGCGCCGCCCGGCGCAGGCACCGCCACCGGCGCCGCCAGCACGGGGACATCGGGGGGGGTGGGGGGGATGGGGGGTATGGGGGGTAATGGGGGCAGATGGGGATTGGGGGTCAATGGGGATCAATGGGGATTGGGGGGCAATGGGGGGATATGGGGGGGATATGGGGGGCAATGGGGGGTGATGGGGGGATATGGGGGGTAATGGGGGTCAATGGGGGCTATGGGGGCAGATGGGGATTGGGGGCAATGGGGGTCAATGGGGGAAATGGGGGCAATGGGGGTCAATGGGGAATGGGGATCAATGGGGGTCAATGGGGAATGGGGGTCAATGGGGATTGGGGTCAATGGGGTGCAATGGGGATTGGGGGGCTATGGGGATATGGGGGCAATGGGGGGATATGGGGGGCAATGGGGAATGGGGGGCAATGGGGGGCAATGGGGGTCAATGGGGATCAGTGGGGGTCAATGGGGCTCAATGGGGGTCAGTGGGGAATGGGGGCAATGGGACTCAATGGGGATCAATGGGGATTGGGGGTAATGGGCGTCAATGGGGGTCAATGGGGAATGGGGGCAATGGGCGTCAATGGGGGTCAATGGGGAATGGGGGCAATGGGGTTCAATGGGGATTGGGGGCAATGGGCGTCAATGGGGATTGGGGGTCAATGGAGTAAGGAGGGGGGAATGGGGA